GGGGGAGGGAGGGAGGGAGGGAGGGGAGACAGACAGGAGGTATCCTGCTCCAGCGCCCCCTAGTGGTGGTCCTCGTCCGCCTTTTGGTCTTGGCTGCGGGAGAGTAGCGCCCCCTTCCCCGTCCTCCTCTCCCAGAAGCTCCAGTCTCTTTCGGGGCCCACCAAAGCCTGAGCGATGGGCCCTTCCGTCCTCGACGCGGCGAGAGCGGCAAGTGAGTCCCCGTCCCCCCCGCCACGCCCCCCCCCCCGCCAACAGTCTCAGGGACTCGGCCCCCACGTTGGGCAACCCGCCTCGCCGGAGGAGGCGTTGTTGTTGTTGAGGTTCCGGCGAGGCAGGCTGGGCGTCAGGCTGCCGGCGGGCGCTTCGCCGGGGCATCCGTGCTGCAGCAGCATCTCCACGCACTCCTGGTTGCCGGCCCGGCGGGCGTAGCCCAGCGGGGTCAGGCCGCGGGCGTCCCGGCTCTTCACGTCCACGCCGTACTGCGAGAGAGAAGCGGAGAAAGGGAGGAGCTCGGAGGCCAGCGGGCTGCGGGGAAAGGAGCAGGGGAGGGGGGGGGGACCGGGCTGGAGGGGGGAGGGGGAGGGGGCGCTCTCCTTACCCAGATGAGCAGCTGGGTGAAGACCACATTGGCCATGGCGCAGGAGAGGTGCAGCGCCGTCCGGCCGTCCCCGTCGCCGTAGGTCTCGTTCACCTCCTCCTTGGAGCCGTGGGCCAAGAGCAGCACCACCGTCCGCAGGTCGTCCTCCACCACCGCCCGGAGCAGCTGCTGTCCGAGGGGCACGTCCGAGTGAGGCAGGGGGGCCAGGAAGAGTTTCTGCTCGTATTTGGCCCGGATCCAGCGCTCCTTCTCTTCCCTGCAGAGAGAGGGGGAAGGAGGGAGAGAGAGAGAGAGAAAGAGGGAATGAGAAAGAAAGAGAGGGAGGGAAAGAGAAAGAGAATGAGAGAGAGAGGGAGAGAGAATGAGAAAGAAAGGGAGAAAAAGAATGAGAGAGAGAGGGAGAGAGAATGAGAAAGAAAGAGAGAGGGAGAGAGAGAGAGAAAGAGAGAGGGAGAATGAGAGAGAGAGAGGGAAAGAGAAAGAGAGAGAAAGAATGAGAGAGAGAGAGAAACAGAGAGGGAGAAAGAGGGAGAGAGGGAAAGAGAAAGAGAATGAGAGAGAGAGGGAGAGAGAGACAAAGAAAGGGAGAAAAAGAATGAGAGAGAGAGGGAGAGAGAATGAGAAAGAAAGAGAGAGGGAGAGAGAGAGAGAAAGAGAGAGGGAGAATGAGAGAGAGAGGGAAAGAAAGAGAGAGAAAGAGAATGAGAGAGAGAGAAACAGAGAGGGAGAAAGAGGGAGAGAGGGAGGGAGAAAGAGAATGAGAGAGAGAGGGAGAGAGAGAGAAAGGGGGAGAGAGAGAGAGAGAG